AGTATGTTTTATATATCAAAATTTCCCCTATAATGCCCCTTTTTACTTTTGATTTAGAAATTAAACAAGGATGAACACTTATCATTTCTATTTTCATTAAAGTGACACGGTTCTTTACTTTTATTTTGTATTTTATTACTGATACTTTTTGAAGATCAGTTGTTTTAAAGAATGATTCTTAATGTAGACTTTTTATCCAGTCATCCTTAGATTCAGATTAAGCGTTTTTGGTGATGTGCCCTTTACATTAGCCCACATTCCTTAAAAGGCACATGATGTCAATTGACGTATTCCATAAGATCACTTTCATAAGATAGTATGAATTACATTTGCCCGTTCTAAAAGTATCTTTTTACATTTACAGTCATATCACTTGAGATCATGAGCATTCCCTTTTCTCCCACAAATGCTCGTGGGGTTAGCCTCCTGTGATTCTTTATGAATCAAATATTGTTTTGGTAATTGTAAGATGGTGATTTCTAATTATACTATCAAGAAACCAAAGCAAATCCATTGCCATTGACTGAATTCTGACTTAGTGAACATCTGGGATACTGGATTTGCCCCATAATGTTTCTATAGCTATAAATCTTTAGGGGAGCAGACTGGCACACATCTCCAGATTATTCCTATGAGATTACTTATTCCAAAGGAAATAATCCATTGCCACTAATGTTTATGCATTAAATTATCCTGTTTGACCAGTGGAAATCCCTCCCAACCAGCTTCCGAGGCCTTTGTTATGTGTTCTTGGGTCTTTGAGTCTTTTCTGTCTTTTGGGCCCCACCGCTGGAATACATGGTTTCTGAGAGTTACTCTTTAGTGGAGAATCTTAAGAACAAAAATTTGGGTGCTAGATATGCTACCTAGTGTCCAGCCTTATCTCTAGGGAGGAGCCCAGGTACCAGGGATGAGTGCTGTGCTGCCATTAGAGAAGTTACAGGCTTGAATTTCCCAGTTGGTCCCACTGCAGTCCAGGCCATCCCTGTGCACAGCTACCCTACAAAATAACAAAACCAAACTCACTGCTCTCGAGTTGATGTTGACTCAGAGGGACTCTATAGGGCAGACTAGAATTTATGGGTTTGGGGAGCTGTGAATCTGAGTTTCTTTGTTGTTGTTTGCTGCTTTTTGCTCCTTGTTTTAATTCTTTCAAAGCATTTTAGTATGATACACATGATAGTTTGCCCTCAGAGTTCATATAGGTACTGCGTTTTCCCCAATGCATATTACTTTTTCTTAAAAGACCAAGGCAAATTGTTACAATATTGAATATTTTCTTCTAAAAATCTAGTTTATGTTATTAAAATAATTATAATTTTGTATGCCTTTTTACAGTGCAAACTTCAAACCCCAAACCAAACCCATTGCTATTTAGTCCATGTTGACTCATAGCCACTCCCTGTGGGTTTCCGAGACTGAAACTGTTTAGTGGAGTAGAATGCCCAGTCTTTCTCCTGACGAGTTGATTGTGGTGGTTTCGAACTGCCAACCATACAGATTGCAGCCCAATGCATAGCCACTACACCATCAAGGCTCAGGGCAAACTTAAGACTTATGTTACTAAAAATTCATCTCGAGAATCCAACTATAGTAGTTATACTAACTACCAAATCAACATTACTTTACCCTGATCTATTTTAGAATGCACACTCATATTTCTTTTTAAAAAAAAAAGTTTTACTAACAATATGGTTCACATATGCTTCCATAGTTCAGTCATATTAATAGGAGTTGTACAATAATTTCTAATATGAGTTCCAGATCATTTTCCTCCTCCTATTCCTTATTAGCTCCCCCACTCCTCTCCTATCCCCCCACCCCCTTTGCCCTCAATAAGGCCTTAATCCAGTTGCTGACTCTAAAGCTTCACCCATCCCAGTCTTCATATACTGGAAAACATAGGAGGAAAAAGATGAACAATAACAACAAAATAAGCCAGAGAAAATATCCCAACCAAAAAGGGGGGTGGGACATTAAAAACTAGAAAATAATTAAAGTGGGTCAAAAGGGAGAGTAAATGATCAAGTGCCACATTTTAACCTAATTACAAATGCCATGATCATGTTTATCATGTTCTCTGATAGCAAGGCTTTTCATATCCCTCTGCTGTGGTCAAAGGGAATCAGAGGCTTAGTCCAGAGATTGGATATTGCATTCTCCATTTCATCCATGACTTTCTGCAAATTGGTTGCTCACAATTTAAGCTCTGATATCATTCTTTCCTTTGGATTTGAATTTTTATAAATTTATTCTCTTTAGATCACAAAGGCTGGTGTGCTGCTTCCATGTGGACTTAGTTGATACCTCCCTTAGATAGCTATTAGGTTGAAAACAAAGCATTTGAGACCCCAGAAGCCATTTCCGGTAGCCAGGCACCATCTGCTTAATTCACCACACTTTGCTGTAGCACCCATATCTTCAGTGAGGGCAATGTCATAATAACCAATCAAGCCCCAAATCACTCACATATCTATGGTTTATATACATCCCTGGTTCACTTTCGAGGCCTCCTTACATTCTATGCCAGAGACCATTATCAATCATCCCCCTGGAGTATAAAGCAATATGAACGGTGATGTCATTAATTAAGCCAATGGTATAGAGTTTAACTTACTATTGGGAAAAAGGAACTTGTACAAGTACCGACCGGCTCTGAACCAAATACCATGAGTTGGTGATTTGCAGGGAATAAACTCTTGAGCACTGTTTATATTAACTATGGAGGTTGGTGATTAGTGTAAACTTCCAAGCAGCTTTCATTGACAGGGCAGAACCTTGTCCATCTGATTAATATATGTCAGAGTAAGGCAAGGGGGGCATTAAAATAGTAAATATATTGCAGGCTGGGTTTCCTTTCACTGGGTACCCTTAGAGCCAGGGATCGGAACCAACGTCCATTGACCACCTCTTCTTCTTACCAGGGAGTTGCAGTCAGGGAATGTTCCTAAAGAGCTACAGGGGCCTTTGAGGGAGCTCAGTTTGTTTAGAGGGGTTTGCACACCGAGTCTCTCTGGTGGGGCCTGTGAAGGATGTTATGCTCCTTGAAAGTTAGACTCTAAAATCACATTCGTTTATGGCACATGGCCTGGGCCACCAAGAGTTGGATAGAAACTATGTAAAAGTGTTTAATTAAGGACATAGTATCTGGTTCTTCTCTTGAGTCCTACATAGTATTGCTCAGTGGTTTCTGTTCCCAGTAGGAAGTTGCTCCTCCCCATTTGCCCACCAGCAGAGATGGAAATGCCTCATCAGAAAACTAGGTGCTTCCCTCCCCCCATCTTGATTTGACTTTTCCCTAAGGTTCTCTCAGGCTTCCTGTAGGGATGTCTGTTGATTTGGTGTGACCTTCTTACAATGTTGTATGGCAGCAAATGAATTGGTCTTCTTTTTTGGAGGCTATAAATCTTTTTTTAATTAATTTTAAAACATTTTTAAATCATTTTACTGGGGGCTCTTACAGCTCTAATAACAATCCATACATCAATTGTATCTAGCATCTTTGTACATACGTTGCCATCATCATTTCCAAAACCTTTTCTTTCTACTTGAACCCTTGGTATCAGCAACTCTTTTTCCCCCTCCCTCACCCTCCTACCTTCGTGAACCCTTGATAATTTATAAATTAGTTTTATTTTCATATTTTACACTGTCTGCTGTCTCCCTTCACCCATGTTTTTATTGTTCGTCCCCCTGAGGGAGGAGGGGGCTTTACATCAATCATTTTGTTCAGTTCCCTCTTCTCCTTCCACCTTCCCCCTACCCTCAGGGTATGAGTTACTCTAATTATTGATCCTGAGGGTTTATCTGTCCTGGATTCTGTGTGTTGAGATTTCTTATCTGTACCCATGTACATACTCTGGTCTAGCCAGATTTGTAATATAGAACTGGGGTCATGATAGTGGGGAGTGGGGGTGAAGCATTAAAGAATTAGAGTAATGCTCTGTGATTTCTTGGCGCTCTACTGTACCCTGACTGGCTCATCCCTTCCTTGTGACCTCTCTGTGAGGGGATGTCCAATTGTCTACAGATGGGCTTTGGATCTCTATTCTGACCCATTCTTACATCAAAATGCTTGTTTGCTTGGGGCCTTCTGATGCCTGATACCTGATTCTGTGGACACCTCTTGATCACACAGATTGGTGGGCATCTTCTATGTGGGCTTTGTTATTTCCCTTGTAGATGGTGGCTTGTTTAACGTCAACCTTTAAGACCCCAGATGCTGTACCTGTTAGCTTTCCTCACCACATTAGCTGATGCACCCATTTTGTCTTCAGCAATCGCATTAGGAAGGTGAGCATCCCAGAATTCCAGGTTATTAGAACACATTGAGAGAGAACTTGAGTAGAGGCCCAATGTCCATCTGCTATCTTCATATTTAACATATAAATATATGTACATAGGCATATCTCTATCATTAAATATTAATATATTTACATGCCTATGTTTATACCTCTATAAATGCCTTTTGCCTCCTAGTTCTTTCCTCTATTTCCTTTTACTTTCCTCATGTCTCACTATCATGTTCGACCTTCATTCAGCTCTCTGTACTTCCTCTAGGCTACATTGCACTTGATTGAACCTCACCAGGCATTTTAAGCCCTCCTCACTGTCAATTTTAGATCCCTTGTTGTTCCCTTGTCCCTGGGTTTGTTGGTGCCCCCCTCCCTTTCCTACACCTCCTCCTCTTCCTTCCTTGTGCTCCCCAGAACCATCAGTCCCGTTGTTTTCTCCTTGGGATTA